CCCCCCCCCCCAACTCCCTGCCCCCTTCTCTTCCCCAAACAGAACATTTTGGGGTCATTTCCTCAATGTCCCAGATAAAAACATGAAACCTAGATAAAATATAGTCTGTCACCATTCTTTAAATGTATTATTCTGTCTAGTTTTAAAGTGTGCCTTAAGTAATTTTGCAAAAGTGACGTCCATTGGGAAACTATTTCTACCATCTCCTTAATCACCTTCAGGAAGGTTTCTCTATTTCACTTGAAGTTTTCTTTGCTCAATTTCCTCCCATTACCACCTTGTACACCTGAATAATTCATCTCCCTCCTTGGTGTTAACTCTTTACAATGGTATGTAAATAGTACACCAGAAATAGGTTACAAAGAAAGCTCTTTCCCTTTCACCCAGAAGCAGAAAGTGTTAAAAATATTCAGCTCCATAGCCTATTGTAAAAGCAAACTCATTTCAGCAACCTGAAAATAAAAAGGGGTGGGAGTGAGGGGGTATAAAAACCACAACAGCACCATCTCTTAGAAAAAAAAAAAGTGTTCATTCCTGCTGATGTCTTGGCAGCTGAATCCTACAGCAGTCAGTGTATAAATGGAAATGTCAATATATTAGAGTGCTTCAAGGAATAAGTATGTTTTCTTCAGACCCTTATTAATAAAAGTAATGACTGCCATTTTGTCACCATCAAGTAGCATGTTCAATGATCTTTGTAATTTAAGACTTGATATTAAAAATGTTTCAGTCAACAGCCCCCAGAATCTCCACTGACAAAAAGTGAGTAATTTTTCTGCAATTCTCTTTAATCGACAAATTCAAGATATAGCTGTTAGTTCCCCTTTACAAAGACTAATAAGAAGGTTGAATAATTTTACAATTATTCAGTCCCTCAGGGTTTTAAGTCATTCAGTGATGTGCTGGCAATATTTTAATAAGGAGCTCACAAGAAAGCTTTTAGCCTTTAACAAACCACATGTGCGTCAGGAGTGCATGTGCATGTGCAAATGCAGCAAGGGGCAGATGAATTAGTGAAGTCAGGGAAGTAATCCCAACCTTTCCATCAACCTAACAGGAGAATTCCAACAGGACTCTTGGGAGCCCTCTGTAAAGCATTCACATGGGGAAGTCTGTACCAATTTCTCTCAGCTCAGTCTGAACATCAGTAATATTAAGACAGTAAAATAACTATGAAAATAAAGTATTCCTGAACCTACCACTAATGGTAGCATTCTTGTTGAAAAATTGCCTAATTTGTTACATGGAAATGTCATGAAAACTGTAAAAATAGCATCAGTGTCACAATAATGCTAGAAGTAGTTTCAAAATTTGACATAATGTTCTGATATTTAAAACGGAGAGCAGACAGTCATAAACTTGCATCTATTAATTGCAACTCCTTCCCTGTGATCACTTATCATACCAAATTACCAGTTTAAACTTGGAGCTCCACCACCAAGAATGCATGTGAAGGCTTTCCAACCAGGTATAAAAAAAATTGTGTTTAGGGATTTGTGTATTGTTTTCACAAACTTTATGCACATATAATTTGAATATCTGTATGAAAAGGAATGTGTTTGAGAAATGTGACCAATATCACACTAAACAGACAAAATTCATACCTACGAGGGAGCAGGCATAGGATTGCTCTTTCAGTATTCAGCATTGTGATCTTCTGCCATAAGTGTTTTGCACCAGAATAGTAGAGTGATTTTACCAAGCTGTATAGAGGTAGCTAGCCATGTTAGTTTGAAGTTAGGCAGAAGGTATAGTAGGATGGCACTATATTCAGATAAGCCAAGCTTTCATAGGCTACAGCCTACTTTGAAGGAATTGCTATGAATATTATGTGATGTATGAATTTGTCAGATGTATTGGTAAGTCCATTCTCAGAATCTGACAATGTTGGCTATAGCTAGTAGAAGTTCATGCCTCTCTGAACAAGTGAACCTATTTATAAAGGTGCCATCTTGACCTGCCTTTTTCTATCGACAATGGATACATTTGAATCTGGATCCTAGATGGATGGTTTATAACCCAGTTAGTTTGCAAAGGGCCATTAAATTAAAAGAGGAGCCACTCAACTTCTTTACCAGAGCTTTTATTTCAAAAGGGTGCCATTTCTCCAATTAGATGGAACATATCAACTGTTCGACCCACCTGACCAAGGAATTGGCAGCCTTTGAAATAAAAAGTACAAACAACTGGAGTATCTTACCAGTCCACGGCCCACGTGCAGACATGTGGTTTCTCCTGGAAGAACCACTGCTCTCCCAGGAGAAACCACAAGTGTACAGATATTCATGATTTCTCCCACAGCAGAAATGGCTGTTCTGAGAGAAAAACCACCAGAGGGTTAGGGTTAAATCACTCCCAAGAGAGTTTCTCCTGGGAGAGTGAATTTCCATACACATCCTCTTCTGAGAAAAGCCACAGCAGTGCTCCAGCATCCCAGGGTGCTTTGCTCCCATCTTACCTCTTCCTCTGGGAGAGGGCATGTCACTTGCTGGACTCTACTGCTCCAGCCAAGCAGGAAGAAGAACACACCCTTCTCTTCACAATCCCCACATTGCACTGCAGAGAGATGCAGGCCAACTCTGAGCAGTGTAGGTCAGCCAATCAGGTCTTCCCCGTGCACTGCTGCCATACCATCTTTAGGTAGACGGAGGGAGCCTGCAGAGCATGCTGATGTGTGCGCAGAGGCCCCCTGGCTACACAGCATCCATGTCACAAGCTCTTTACTCTCCAGGGGCTCAGCTTCTGAACGTTGCTTCAGGTGTCTCTGGGTAAGTTTTAATCAGATCAACCTAGAATAATTCTCCCAGATCATATGAACACATAGCAGTTTAGTCTAGCTACATATTCCCCAGCTGTTCATAAGTCAGAGAGGAGAAAAAGGTGGTGGCAGGGGAGGTAAGGAAAGTAACTGCAGGAAGTATCCAAATTCTCCTGTATTCACTGTTTTGCACTTTATAACTTAAACCTTAGCAAAGTGGATGTGGAGTGTTAATAAAAATCAGACTAGTAGCACTTTACAAATTTGCTTTAAGTGACTATACAAATGTAAGACACTGAATAATCAAAACTCTCAGCAATGGGGACCCTGTCCAGTTTGCTCATTACATGCTGTATTAGTACTCTTACTATGTTAATTGCAACCTTTCCCTCAGCCTTCATCTAGCCCCAAACTAACTTCAACAGCAATTAGATCAGGCCTTACGATAAGAATCTTCTCATTTAACTTAACTTATTTGTCATGTGTAGTTAAAGGGGAAGGGTAAAAAAAACAAGATCCATGCCCATTATTTTACATTCAGATTAAAAAAGCTAAATTAGCAAATTCACCCAGTTGACAGCACATTGGAGACTTAGTTTTGCCAAATAGCACACAGCCAAGATCAGCCAATTGACATGGCATGTTGCTTATTTGGTTAGTTGGCTTTATGCTGCTCAGCACACCCATCCTGTTTCCCAGACTCTGGATCCACTTTACTTATAATATTCTGTGGAGATGAAGCTTAATGCTTGGAAAAGTAAATTAAAGAGGGTCAAATATGCAGGTCTTCAATAGCTAGAATCATGCCACACATATAGACTGTTGTCAATAGAAGTTTTTTCTACATATTAAAACAGAGAAAGATAACAAGCATCTCAAACTTCACATAAAAAACTCACTCAAAGTGTATTTCTATAACAGTGAAGTGGCAATTTGCTAAAAGAAAATGTAATTATAACCAGTAGATGGCATCATAATAGCTAAAATAATATTTTGTCCTTCATAAAAAAAAAAGTACCAACATCAAGTTGTTTTTTTCTTTTCAGGCTGTAATCTACGCCCTTTCCTTTACCACTATGTTTTTTTATACATAAAAATAATTTTTAACCATTCTATTCTTTGGCTGATATGTAATTTTTTTAAATTTATTTTTTAACATGTGTAGAACCTGACCTCCCAGTTTCGTTTGCCAAAGCATATGCTATCTGTAAATAACACTTAATTGTAATACAACTGCATATAAAAGACAGGCAGGGTCAGAAAGAAACAATCCCAAGTGCCACAGACATATCCTGGTTTCTTTTAGATTTCAACAGTATGGCAAAGAGTGTAGTTCACTCCTCCTAAAGCTGCTATTTCATAAGGTTGTCAGATTCAACTACGTATCAGTTCAAGGTCAGCCCAGCTTATCTGATCACACAAGGCCTGTTCAATGCCCACAGCTTGGGATGCCACAGCAATTAATGCCACCACTATTCTACCATGACCAAGTTTCTGGACCCAAGGGGAGCCTGCAGCTAAGATGACATCTCTGCAGGCCAGATCTGGCCCACAGGCCATATTTGGTCACCCTTCTTCTAAAAAGAAAAACTAGAGATTCTGATGTCATTGTTGGAGGAGCTTAAAGACATTAACACCAGGCCTACAATGTCTAAACCATGCAGTAGGAATCATCCATACAGAGCAGATAAGATCAGGGCTTTAGATTCATGTCCTGCAACAGAATCAACATCCTCAACTGCTACTGAACTAACCAAGCACCCTCAACACTTTTCCAAACAACATTCAGCGTTTCAGAGGATTGGACCTTTAAGCATCTTGAAATAAATGCATCATATAGAAGTCCTTTAAA